TTATTAGCGTGAATGGCGAGGGGTGAGAGTGAAACATAACGTCATCATCGCTCCTCGAACGTAGAGAGCGTAAGAGTGTGTGTTCGGGTCGATGGCGGAATAGTTATAAAAGTACTCCACCGACCCCAATCTAGATTAGTTTGAGTATAGAGTGGATCGAAGTCAGCTCAAGTGGTAGAGCAGCGGCGTATTTAGCCGAAGGTCGTGGGTTCGAATCCCGCTTGTGACACTGACTTTTTGCGTCTTTAAGAGAGGTTAAGCAAAACCATAATTAATTGAAAAGAATTTATTTGGTCAAGCGAACCACGAAACCTAATAAAATGTTTTGTTTCCTCAATTATTGTGTATCTAAATTTTTTTGAGTAGCATTTGAACATATTCAGTCATCTATAAACATAGTTATTATCAAAAATACTACCTCCACTGCCAAAACCTTCCCTACAATTTCCAATCCCGACAATTTTAAATAACGATGTCCACTAGACCTCATGGAAAATTAATTCATCAATTGCAACATTATCAAATTTATAACGAATCCCACCTAATCGAAGGGTGCCATTTCTTGGCTCCATATAGAGAGCGAGTAAGAAGGCCGCCCGAATTGTGCATGAGCACGCAGCTAGTATCTGCGTCCCAAACAGGATTGTTTAATTACAAATTTTCCCTCCGTGTGTGGATCGAGTGCAGTGGATCGAGGTCACGATAGCTCAAGTGGTAGAGCAGCGGCGTATCAAGCCGAAGATCGTGGGTTCGAATCCCGCTCGTGCCTTTGACTTTTTTATCTCAATTAAAAACCTTAATTAATAGAATTTTTTAACATGAATGTGTAGTGCGAAGAGAGTTGATGGCGCAATATTGTACACCTTATCGATTCTCAATTAGACTAGTTCTATAATAGGTCACTGTTTTGTTGTATATAGTACTGAGAGTTTTGTATACTTAGCATGTTTTGAGAGTGAATGTATTTATTGGCGAGAATGTGTAGCGTAAAAGGGTTGATGGCAGAATATTGAGAAAACCCATGGACCCCTCCCAATTTAGATTAATTATATAAAAGATGTAAAGGGGGATGAAGGTATGTCGAGTACTCCACCACCCTAATTGAGTGAATGGAATACAAACAGGAAAGGAGGTATTTAAGTAGATGGATTTGGATCAAGGGACTGCATGCGTTGGGTGATGAATTGAACTGGCTATTGATGGCACCCAAGTCCACCTCTATGGCTGAACGGATATATACGAAGTCTGACCTCCGACTGACAATACCCGAGGTGGGTGATACGCAAGGCCTACCTGTGATTTATTATAAAATATAAAAGTGGAATTGACGCTGGACTGCAAGACGTAATATAATCAACTCTGCACATATGTGTATAATATATTTTTTATCTTTATTTTTAGGTTTATTCTTAATATTTAAACAAAAGATCGTTTACTGCAATGGCAAAACTCAAACATGGACATTAGTCTGTCTGCTTGGTTGATCATTTCACAGTGATCAACGAAATTATTTAACGCAACAACACTACATACGTATTTCTTATAATATAAAAATTCATAAATAATCAACATACAAATAAATAAATAAAATTATATATATATATATATATGACACTAGCGTGTAACCATATCATACACATATTATATGTGTGGTGGTTTCTAAGTGTAACAATGTGTAGCTTCCAAGAAGGCATGTTTGATGTTAAATATTTTAGTCGTATTTCGGTATGTGGGCTAGTTTTGATGCCGACTCAGCCAAAAACAATTTTGCGCTACAACATGCGGTTAAAAACTGAAGAAAAAGAGTATTTATTTATAAAGAATATGAATGAATCCAACTGTGGGAACCGGGCTACAAATATAATTTGTAAAATACACTCGTTCATCCCCGTCCCCCTTATATTTAGACATTCTAGCTCCGTTCCAGATTCACACAATTTCTTTCCCTTCGGACAACATTCACACCTGTTCCTTTTTTTATAACAGCCACTTCTTATCATTTTTAGCCTCTGTTCCTCGATTTCAGAGTGGATTATTTATAACAATCGGGATGGAGAGGTGTTTTATAATTAGTTTCAAGTGATTTAAATTTATCCGAGAAATACGCCAACTACCGGGGTTATTAGAGTGAAAAAGATATAAATTTACAAAAAGATAAAAGTAAATAGACAATTTTTCATTACACTGCACGTTTCATAGAAATAGCGCAATAAATTTACAATTTTAAAATTACCTTTTCATATTTTTACCTTCCTTTTGTATTAAACTAAAAATTATAAAAATATTTTGGGAGAGCAGTTGGTTTATTTTTTTTATAGAGGTTATTTATAAAATACAAAACATACGATATTTATTACACTAAATACTTTTGAAACTCTTTTCTATCAAACATGGTGGCTTTTTAAATTTGGTTACTCTCTGGTTTTGTAACGCAGACAATATTTATCCAACTCGACATGACTTTTATTATCTCAGGATAGTCGACTAACGATTCCCCAGGGGATTCTGGTTCCAAAATATTTCTCCTGATATAGATCATGTTCGGGTTGGGGTTTCTTGTTATGATCCTTGGCTTTATTTCTAGAGCGATAAAATAAAAAAAAGTTTCACAGAATCGAAAGAAAACTGGCAGTATATTAAAGATGACATTGTGTAAGATGTGGCATGAGTTTATCCAAGATACAAACTCCACTCTTAACGACTTAACGACGGATGGGATTTGTATAAATAGATACAAGCCTGTTGATTAATCGGGGTTTGAGTGAAACAGTATCGCAGAATGGTCAGAACCTAGACGAATATCACAAATAAGATAGTAGAAAATAGTATGTCCTGAATGTAACAATTTCGAAGTGGGGTAAATTTTCCCTTGGTTAATGTCAGAAGTAGCAACAGGCGAAAAACAAAGCAATTTTCGGAGAAAGACCTAGACCTTGACTAGCAGACATTGACCTTGAAATGAAACACCTACCAAACAATCAACTTTTGCAATTCATGTCGAGAGACGTGGTTGTAGAAATCCTTCAACCTGATGATGAGCTAAGGGCTCGAAATCCGGATCGTTGGAAAACAACTTACTGTGAGTAGGAACTATCTTTTTGAAAAAAGGATTGAACACCGCACTCACTCCATCATTCATCATTTCTTTCAGTTGGATCTTCTCGTAGTCTTTCTTAATTGATCAATGTCTTCTTTTCTTAAACTTTAGGTATTTTCGGACACTTGCTTTTGGGTCAAACCCCGCGTAAGTATCCGGCATGTAAGAAAGGTTGCTCGATGAGACCCCCCATAATTGAAGGGTGTTACTCCTTGGCTCTATATAGGGAGAGAGTATGAATTCTACCCATTATGAGGATCGTGCTTGAGAACGGCAGCTAGTATTTGAGTCATCGGTTCCGACTTTTGGAGGAGAAAATTATTGTATATATTATTGATAGTTTTGTGTGTTGAGAGTGTATGTATTTATTAGCGTGAATCTACAGTGTAAGAGGGCTATGGCGCCATATTGAGTTTCCATCGACCATCAATTAGGTTAGTTATATAATAGGTGTAAAGAGTGATGGAGATATATCGCGTACACCACTACCATAATTGTGTGAATGGTATGTAATTGTATTTTAGAATATATTGTGAGAGTGTTTGGATCTAGGAACAGGTTGAGTTGGGTTCTGAATTGACTTATGGATCTATGGCCAACACAGGGAAGATGGCACATACTGGCCAAGGTAGGAAATGGTGTTGCGAACAATAGATTTGGGAGGGTTTCACTAAAAACATCAAAGTCCGCCAGTGGCTTGAACAAAGTGTGCAGTGAATAGATGACGGGTCTATACACTGGACCAATATTGGTTGCCCATTGCTTGTTGTTTCCAACCAGGTTTGTATTATTGGGTTGTCCGGAAAATAATGCAGGATTTTAAGTTTTCATTAAAAAAAATCTATATAAAATATTCTGTTTACGTTTACAGGATTACTCATTNCTTTATCAATTCTAAAAATTCTGAATTCTACTCAGACGGAATTAATAAGTTACCAACACGTTGGGAGAAATGTATTGAGAGTATGGGAAATTATTTTGATTCAAGAACATTGCTTTAAAGTAACTAGTTTCTTTTTTTTTGTTTAATACCAAAATCCTGCATTATTTTCCGGACAACCCAATAATAACACGTAAATAACAATTATACACCCTGACCTAACATAAAGCGGCAGCAGCGATTTCCTCGACCTCGATATCTATCACAGCATAGGAAAAGTAAGCAATTATAGGCTATTGAGGTTAAGCTGATCCAATCTTGGGCCAACTATTGGCCCAATGTGTGCAGCGAAACCAATGACCAGCGTGGCATGCTGCCCACCTTGGTGACCAATGCATTGGCTTGTCCTGGCCCCCTAGGTAGCTTGATGGATATGGACGTGATGGAGGTCAGACCCCGGACTACCAACGGACTCACGTTGCCTGCTTATTTATCATAAATTACAAAAGCTGTAATTGCCGATGGACTGCGAGAAGCTATAGGCTCAACTCAGTACATGTTTACATATATGTACATACATGTGCATATTTAAATTTATATGTGGTGTTTAGTGACCGTTAGCCAATGATTATTTGGAGATCGTGAAATGCGGCATGGTGAAAACCGTCTACAGAATTTTTTTATTAGCATATTTTACAGAATTATGTGAAAATTTGACACATGAATTCATTATACACCAGAATTATTGGTAGTGTTTCAAAGTCGTTGTTTATCAGATTTGTTCAATTCGTTTGATAGTATAACGGAAATTTTATATCAGTGAAACAACGGTAATGAGAAGCGTACCGGCTCAGAACGGAAATTGTAAACCGAAAGCTGTAAAAGATACAGAACAAACAAAGAAACCACGAAACGTTTAATAGAAACTAAGAGAGCCGTTACAGTCCTTGAAATTGTAATCTCAAGGAGCCGCTGTTAGATACAATTAAAAGGGATGAGAGAAGTTACGTCTAATAGAATTACCTTGTGAATACGAGTAGGTAGTTAGGAGAAACAGTGAAGAAAGGTGGTACCAGACCATCCTCATGGGTGGCTCCGTTCCCAACCTACAAAAAAAAAGAAAATTATCATAAAACTCATTTGTACCATTATTAACCTGCAATGTAACAATTACTTTTGATAATAGCATGTATGTAATGATTTTGCGAAGCAAATTTTTAGAACCATTTGCGGTTGAATGAAAAATATTCGAAAAATAAACTTTCAAGGAGTTTTCCAATTATATAGTAAGGTTGATTATTCTTTATGTGAATTATAACAATAATAAAAGATATTGTAAATATTCTTTAGCTCTAGATGTTCCTAGTTATTTATTGATTTTCTTCGTTTTACAGATTAAGAGTTGCATATCCTCTCTATACACATAAATGTTACAAAATAAACCCTTATATATAAGGTATTGGTTGAAACGAAAAAGTTAGTATCACGAGCGGGATTCGAACCCACGACCTTCGGCTCAATAGCCGCTGCTCTAACCACATGAGCTATCGTGATTTCGATCCCCTCGGAATCCCGCTCGTGATAATAAGTTTTTCATTTCAACCAATACCTTACATAAAACGATTAATTAATTGAAAGCAGTAATTTGGTCAATCGAACCACGAAATATAATGGGTTAAAAAATAAGGTGCAAAAATTCAAATTTTGTTGACATACTACTAATAAATTTAAAAAAAAAATAATAAGTTCGTATAATTGTTATTGTAATTATGTATGTGTAGTTATGTAATTATTATTATAGTTACTTATTGTATGCTTTAATGGCTTTTTGATTTATTTATTCAAGTATTTACTTTCTTATCTGACATTTAGTCATTAGGTTACCGCACATTCGTACTTATAAAGGAATGGCTGTAGTACACATCCAATTTTGCATGTTATGTGCCCATGTAAGAAAGATTTATGTAAGTTAATATAACTACCATTTCGGTTTTTCGATTTATAATAATTCCAGACCATTGTGAGACTTGTTCATTTCACATTTTATGAGACAAAGTAAAAAATGCAATATTTTCTTAAATTAATCAATATATGTTCAGCGGTCATGATTGACTTATTTAATTATTTCAAGTAATTATACTTTTTATCTGAAGTCTTGGGTGAGATGAAAAAGTTAGTATCACGAACGGGATTCGAACCCATGACCTCCGGCTCAATACGCCGCTCTTCTAACCACTGGAGCTGAAGTTATTATATCGTGACGTTAAGTTTTTCAGCTCGACCAAGATTTTATATAAAAACTATAATTAATTGAAATTTTCTTAAATCTCTAATCTTTTCCTGGTAAAATAAAGAACTGGTTAAAAGAAATACCATGGAATAAATTTTTGAAAAGTGCAAGTATCATGTATGTATGTCATAGCTCAACCGTAACTGATTTGCCAAAATTTGTACGAAACGTAAATTATGCACATTTTTTTCATGGAATATTTAATAATTATACAATTTTATTTATTGTTACAAATAATTAATTTGAGGTTTTTTGGGGTTTGAAATAATGATTATTAAAATCTTTTCGTCCACTGGGACCTATGTAGATCTATTGTAGAAACCCTGTAAATTATAAACATACCGAAACGCTGAAGAAAAATAAATTTTTTGGATAGAAACAGGATTGGCTATCGAACGTTGATTGTAAGAGGGGAAAAACAATTTTTATGAGTTTTTTAGCTCGATGGAACAAACTTCTCACAATCTAATTAACATACTTATGTTCTGTTTTTTAAGATTAATCATCGAGAGATACAATAATACATCTTGTTTTACAATGTAATACAGATTTAAAATATTCAAACAGAAAAATTTTGATACATAAATACCACCTTTTTAACATATTTTAGAGTCAGTAGGCAGGAAACAAAAGTTAATAAAAAGACGACCTTATAACCAAATTTGAATGGGAAACTGTAATAAGTAAAACTCATACCGGAAAAAGCAAAAGATGTAATATATATTGCCTTTTAATTTTCACAATGTATTTGAACTCAGTGATAATACAATTCGTTATTTTTTCGTCGTACAAAAGAAAGCGATTTTTTTTCAACAAGAGCAATTCATATTGGACATTTCTTTTTTATTATTTATACACCTGTGTTTTTGTTTCATTACAATTTATGACAAAGTCGTAAAATAAATAAATAAAAACAATTTTACTTTATTCATATTGACACTTTTCATTTACCGGTTGTTTTTATTTTTCAATGCAAATGAACTTAGGTTTAATACTCTATCAAAAACAAAAAACGCATTATTGAAATGTTTTACGTTTGACATAGCTAGTAGTGTCCTAAACAGACCACGGACATCTAAGCCTCAAATGACCCATGTTTTCATATTGAAACATGTCATAAGCACTGGTCATGTCATTCCGTTTTACTTTACGGGAAAAATGAAAGGATTTAATTTCAATATACATACAATAATTTATTGCCAAGCCTAGGTGAAATTAATTTTTGTGTTATTTTATTATAATCTTACTATTCGAATAATTAAGTTAACTCTTTCTATAATTTTGTTTCCGTGTAAGCATTTTTAAATTGTATTTATTTACAAGCTTCATACAAAATATTACATGTAATACAAAAAACATAACTATATAAAAATATATACAGGTATAATTAGTATTATGTAAATAATAATTTATAAAACATAAATAACAGTAATTATACAGGAAGGTCAGCTGTCGTGTTAACAAAAATCGGTGACAGTGTATCTAAACTAAAATAGAATGATGCAAATCTCATGGTTTTATTTCAAACCGTTCAACGGTTACGATTTTTTTAGTGTTTATTTAAGGAAAATATGTTTCTTTTCACAAAAGGCTGAATTTTCCACACAAAATGACTTTCCAAAACGTTTCGCCCCATTTTTAGCATTTTCTTTTACATGAGTCTTATTTTGTCCTAAAAATTGCCAATCTGCTAATAAAATAACTACAAAATGATTAATTTTAGATCAACTTCTTTAAACCATAGATCTTTACATTACATTTTTTTAAAATGTAAAACCAGCTAAAGACTTCAACATTTTATGAGCTTTTCAACAGTCTGTTCTAAACCTCTATTATTTTAATTTTGCATTTTGAATTTGAATTTAATAATAATTTATGTAATAACTTTACATAAAACTTGAATTTTGTCCGCTCTAACGTTAATTTTCTCAACTTTTAGTCACATTTTTAGATTTAGCACTGAATTTTCTTTTAGATTAGTCCACTTTTGTTCTAAACATTGCCACTTTACTTTCAAAATAAATATACAAACATCATATTGTTAGTTACCCAGTAGCACACTTAAATCTTTTCAATATTCACTCAATGAGAAAGTCTCGGGGCCACATTCGTTTCAATTTTCACTCAATGATAAAATCTCGGGGCCACTTTCGTTTCAATCTTCACTCAATGATAAAATCTCGGGGCCACTTTCGTTTCAATCTTCACTCAATGAGAAAGTCTTGGGGCCACTTTCGTTTCAATCATCACTCAATGAGAAAGTCTTGGGGCCACTTTCGTTTCAATCATCATTCAATGAGAAAGTCTTGGGGCCACTTTCGTTTCAATCATCACTCAATGAGAAAGTCTCGGGGCCACTTTCGTTTCAATCATCACTCAATGAGAATGTCTCGGGGCCACTTTCGTTTCAATCGTGTTGGAGGATTTACACGTAGGGTGGGTTTGAAGTGATAACTGTCATACTAATGGATTATTGTGTGTGTTCATTGATTGATGAAAATATTTACAGCGAGTTTTGATGAGTTCATGTACAATCGGAATGTGAGGATCGTTATGAAGAGTGTAATTTGTAACGTAAAAAGGAGAATTTATAATTTGACGGAGAATTTTAGATTGGATTAATTGGAGACGTTGGAAATTTGAATCCTTTCTGGAAACCCACATTTCACAACCGTACGCCCAGAGAAGTCTAATCATTGTCTCGTAAATTAAAAGTTTGTTCTCACTATCTAATTTTGATCTCGAGTCGTTTTTTTAAATAATTTAAAACGCCGGTTTGTTTGCTGTCTTTCCAGTCTTGTGTAGGGATTCCATGTTTCCAAGTTAACCATGAAAATTCCAAAATAACATACAAGTTCAGTGGTAGGCAATGGAATTCAATTTGTACTGCAGGACAGATATTTTACATAACGTAAAATGTGCCTGTACCCTTTTCGTCAGGTCTCCCCTTTGTGAACCATACATTTAATTCTTTCAGGTGTTGTTGTAAGTATTGAGTGTTAATTGAGGGTCCGAATTACCTGTAAGAATCGCTGTATCATCAGGGAATGTGTATGTTAAAATGTTAACACGTATAAGAATCTCTTCAATGTATATTGAAAATAGAAATGGGCAAAGTATGCTTCCCTGAGGAACACCCGCCCTAATGCGTATATAAAGTGAGAAATCAGTACCTTAAATAAATACTAAAAAATCATAACTTTTGAACGGATTGAGATAAACCCATGAGGTTTTCGACGTTCTACTCCTGTCAAAGATAAAAAAATTTCTCGCTGACTAATAATAAAATTAAGAGAAAAATTATTATAAATATAGTTATATGACATTTACATTTTTTACAAAATTGCATTAAAATCATTAATAAATGTGTTGAAATTTCATATTAGTCTTTATCTATGAACCCATTTCGATCATGTGGCCACTACTCACGCTGCGGTGAGCAGTTAAGTATATATAAACTTCCAAGTGATTCTATAGAACTGGCAGGAGCATGCCTACGATTCTTTAACATAAAAGTGTAAAAATTATATATTGTTTGGTCCATGCTATGTTAAAATGTGTCTAAGTGATGCAGATGATCCTTTAATCTATCGGCAACTTGGGACAAAATTTCTTTCGCCTTTCCATTAGTTGTAACTGACCAAATATTTTCACATTTTTCAAGACACTCGTACAAAACTTTGTTTAATGATTTTGGAAGTGTGTTGTATGCTGATTCTAAATTCATGTCAGTCGATGATAGTTTGGCCAGTTTGTTCGCTAATTCATTCTCTTTTATTTCGCCATGAGCCATTACCCAATCTAGTGGTAC